CCGTCGGACACGGTTTCCTTCTGGATTTTACGTCGGCCATTTTCTCTCAAGTCTAACTTTTGCCTTGGCATGAAAGAATTTCCAAGCGGGATTTTTCTTATTTATTTCCTTTTCCTTTGTATCCTTACTTTTTGCCTTGGAACATATGTTCCCAAGAAGGATCTTACTTGGTTTCTGTTACAAACTTTTGTAACCTCACTTCACTCTTTTTTTTTTTTTTTTTTTTTTTTTTTTTTAAGATAATGGCGAAGAATGTGACACTAAAGGAATCGCAACCCCTTAATGAATCCCTTTTTGGGTATTGATTTCACTATAATGTGATTGCCATTGTATTATGTCAAGAAGCGAATTTGAGGTCCAATCTCAAAAGTTCAAGGTCAAACGTCCACTACCGGAAATTACTCTTATTAATGAATGGCTGAAACAAAAATATTCAAGTGATGCATGAATGTACAACATCATGTACAGTTGATACATACAGGGAATGGGAGTTTTGGGAAATGCATGCCTTCCAACCTTAATTTCCTCCCACACACGAATTCCCGTTGGTATAAATTCGACATCTGTTTCTAGGATTTGGTCCAATCTCGACAACCAACAGGTGGGTTTTGAGATGTGACGATGACAAACTCTCGGAAATGAATGTGGCATAACAAAGCAATCGAATCGGGTACACCTTAGGGGAGTAACTAAGGTTTTTCAAACTATATGCTTGGCTTTAGTCTTATTGGGCTTAACAAGTCTGGGTTCCGCAACAGGATTCGGCTTTGTTGGGCTTACTCCTTTGACGCACCTTTGAGGTACTGCTTTGCGGTTGGTAGTTAATGTTTAATTCTCGATGGATGCACCTAAATCGCATGGTTTAGGCTAGATCCACACCGTCCAAACTTAAACCAGTACCGAGGGTACATGGTAGAATGAGGTGAGAAGAGAGAGATGCGAATGAATGCAATCCTATAAAAGAAAAGGAAAGCAATTAAACATATACGAGACCGATTAAAAAATTTCCAATGCCTTTTCTAACCAATTTTGTTTTTTAGAAAACATAGTTTTTTTTTTTTTTAGAGTTAATTCTAATCACACCATCCTAAAAAAAAAATAATTGGGGATTAGTGGTTTGCATTCCCCAGTGAAGTTCGCCAATCTGTTTTCGCCCAAAAATCCCAGAAGGACCCGAAAACAATCATTTTTTGTGATTTTGGATAAAATGTTTTTATTTTTGGGATGCGGTGCCCGATAAATCGGGTCTTATAAACAATTTTGATCGCCACCCATTGTTAGGGGCAATGGGACCGTTTTTATTAAAAATGACTTCATTTTAAACCACACCAATTTTGTTTTAAAAGGCCAAATTATTTTAAAAAAGACTGGTAGGCGCACCAATGTGTTTCTGGGTGGGAATTAGGTACGTAGGCCCGTTTGGAAAAGCCGACGCCCGGAAAAACCCGGCCTCTAATTATTAACCTAATTATTTTATTTATTATTAGAAAAGCCATCATTCTTTAATTAAACCCAACCCAAATGAACAGGACCGAGTTCTATTTGGAAAATTATTTAAATCGTCCCAAATATCTAATTAATCCATAACAATATTCATTAAGCAATTAAAATAAAGCAATTACCAAATAAATAAAAAGACCCGCTCTTTGGTGGCTATGTTCAAGGCGGCGACAAACCGAATCAAAAATATTAATGGAATAAATAAGACCCGCTCTTTGCCTTGGGTTAAAGCGCGGCAACAAACCGAAGAAAAATCAAATAAATGAAAGACCCGCTCCTTGCCTTATAGGTTAAAGGCGGGTAACAAATGGATCAAACAATATACATAAATTGAATCAAAAAAAAACTAAATCCATAACCTAATTAAAAATAAAACCACACATAATTGTTATTTAATGTCAAAATCACATTTAATTTTTTTTTGTTTTAAGTTTAATTTCATTTTTGGCATTCAAGCCAACAATAATAAAATTCACACAAATAAATGTATATAATCCACATTTTTTAATATTTTAAGGCTCAATTAAATTATAATCTGTTCAAGTTGCTTTATTGAAAAATTTAAAAACTTTATTTTCGTGCAAAATTTATTATTTTATTTTTTTATTTCTGAAAAAATCGGGTGAATATGGTGTAAACAGTGCGTGAAATAGTGTGTGAATAAGTGTGTGAATAGTGATTTTTTTGAAAATGCAATGAACACTGCATATTTTTTTTTTTTGTCCAGAATCTTTTTTTCGAAATGATTTTTTGTTACAATAAATTTCTTGTTCAAATATAATTTAACGACATATAATAACCAAATATAAACAGAATATAATTTAAAAGAAACTTAAATTATTAAGATCACAAGAAATACATAAAATTATAAAATATGCAAAAGATGCAAAACATGTTAAGAAATTACCTGATACCTCAGATTTGGGGATTATAAATAGATGCCAAAGCTTTGTTTCCAAGGATTTAAGTGTTTTCTTTAAATATATATATATTTTATCTTTTTAATTTCGCCTAAAAATTAATATCTATAGCAATTTTTCCTTCCAAATTAATCCAACGAGAGTATTTTTGGAGAAAAATATAGCTACAGTGGTGTGTAGAGGTTGCAGAAGAAGTCCGTGTGTGTGTGTAGACGGTTAAGAAGAGAGTCCCAAAAAACAAAAAAAAAAACCCCTGTCGTGTAAGAAAAGGGGATTTATAGGTTTTTTTTTTATTATTATTATTTTATTTATTATTATATATATATATATATAAGTAGCATGCCGGTGCTACTGTAGCACATCGGTGCACCTGTAGCAACGCGTGCTTCCCTTTTTTTTTTTTTTTTAGTAGTAGCATGCGTGTACTTGTGCACATCGTGCAACTGTAGCACGCGTCCTTTTTTTTTTGTTTTTTTTTTTTAAATATATACTATATATATTATATATATAATAAATTTTTTTTTTTTTTGGGTAGTAGCAGCGTGCTACTGTAGCACATCGTGCACTGTAAGCACGCGTGCTTCCTCTTTTTTTTTTTTTTTTTTTTTTTTTTTTTTTTTTTATAAATTATATATATATTATATATATATATGTATATATATTTTAATTATATTTATTTTTTTTTTTTTTTTATACACGCGGTGCTACATGCACTGTAGCACGCCGTGCACTGCTTCCTTCTTCCTTCTTCCTTCTTCCTTTCTTCCTTTTTTTTTTTATTTTATTTTATTATTTTTATTTATTTATTTATCATTATTGTTTATTTTAAAATCCTGGGTCAGAATGCTTCTAAGATAACATTAATCCATTTATCCTCTTGTCCCTCATCGGAATCAGGCGGGCATAAAAAACACGCCGTCAACAGTAAGGGCAACAGAACATATCGCGTCACGCAGGTTATAAGTCGCGTAACGCAACCGTAAGCTGCGTGACGCGGCTTACTTTTCGTACAGTTGCGCGTAATCCAAATAACAGTGCAGGCCGTTTGTCACGGCATACAGCCGTCCAGAGGTGTAGCCTCGTTAGAGTGCGTGACGCAACTAAGAGTGCCGTCACGCAGGTATAGCTGCGTGACGCAACCCTAACACGGGTGTCAGGTTCCTTTGGGCGGTTTGGATTCAAGTTTTGGTTATAACACTTCTGGTTGCCGTGATACCTCCCCTTTTCCTCATATCATCACTGGGTTAGTGGGGCAAAAATCACGCGTCAACATTTGCCCCCACCCCCCACTTTATCATTAATTGTATAAAAATATAATCGTTAAAGTGGGTCCATTCGCTTTTTCCATTGCACCACTTTGAAGCTCAGTTTGATCGGCTTGGAAAGATGTTGGGCTGATTTGATCATCTGGCCACCTACTCAGCTCGGTTAGACGGCTTTTGTTGGCTCCAGTCGGGTATGTCACGACTCCAAAAACTGCAAATTTTTGATTGTTTGAAGACACCTCCAAGGCTCGGTTTGATCGGCCTGAAGGATTTGAACGGAATTCTCTGGTCACCTCCTTAAGCTCAGTTTTTTCGATCGGCTTTGTCGCTCCCGTCGAATATGTTGAATACTCAAAAGCTTGGTTTTGATTGGCTTGAAGACACCTCCGAGGCTCAGTTTGATGGCCTGAAGAAATTTTGGATTTGAATCCCCAAAATGCTGGTCACCTCCTCAGCTCAGTTTGATCTGCTTTGTGTTCGGCTTCCAGTTGAAATATGTTGAATGACTTCCAAAGCTCGTTTGATTGGCTTGAAGACCCTCCGAGGCTCGGTTTGATCGGCCCTGAGGATTTGAATAGAGATTGTCTTGATCAGCTTCGCAACCAACACCATACACTAATCAAGAAAAATGTCAAGCAGTTTGCAAATGACACCATCACGGCTTGTGGGATTTGAGAAATTGTCTGATCGGCTTCGCAATACAACATCACTAATCAGGATTTGAGTCAAACCTTCGAATACACCATCATTGACTCGAATCAAGGATTCCCCAAATCTCAGTTTGATCGGCTTTGTTGTCACACTCCTCAGCTCAGTTTTGATCGGCTTTAGAGGATTTGAATAGAGAGTTGTCTTGATCAGCTTTCGCAACACACATCACTAATCACGAAAAGGTCCAAGCAGCTTCGCAATACACATCACGGCTTGGTGGGATTTGAGAATTGTCCCCTGATCAGCCTTCGCAAATACGACCACACTAAATCCAGGATTTGAGTCAACTTCGAAATACACCCATAATTGACTCATAAGGATTCCAAAGCTCAGTTTGAACGGACTTTAGAGGATTGAAATAGAGATTAATTTGATCAGCTTCGCAACAACACACATCACTAATTCAAGACAAAGTGTCCAAGCAGCTTCGCAATAACAAACCATCACGGCTTGTGGGATTTGAAGAATTGTCTAAATCGGCTTCGCAATACAACCATCACTAATCAGGGATTTTGAGTCAACCTTCGAAATACAACCATCATTGACATCGAGAAAAAATGATCCGAACAGCTTCGAAATTACACCATCACTATTCGGTAAGAACCTCATTGAAATTGGCCTGAATCAACTCGCAATACATCATCATTAACCAGAAGAGGATGACTCGATCCGCTTCGTCAATACCAATCATACACGAATCGGAGAAAAGGATCCAAACAGCTTCCGTAATAACATCACTGCTTGGGGATTGTCCCTGATCAACTTCGCAATACATCATCATTAACCAGGAAGAGGATTGGATTCGATCCACTTCGCGGGGACCTATCGACTTCGAAAAACCATCAACACCGTTGGCCTGAAGAAATTGTTCAAAAAACAGAAAAATGAGCAATATCTGGTGTACAAACAGACCCTTGCCTTTTTTGTAGAAGAATGTTGGGAATATATGCCCCATGCATTAATTATAATTTCAAAAAGTTTGCATCAGGGCAAAAGATTATAACTTTGCCCCCAGTCCGGAATTCGACTTAGGACAAAAGTATCATCTTTCTTAGGTAGACTTCAATGTTTTATTGTCAAAAATTTGGTTTGAAAGGTTTGCAAAAATTTAGTAAAAAATTTTAGGCCAGAAGAATTTAAGCCTGAATTTAAGGTATTAGAACCCTTCCTGAGCAGTGTTTGAAGAGAAAACTTACCTGAGGTATTTGGGCAATTTGATGCTCCTCCCCCCTGTCGGTGAGGTAAGAACAAAATCGCTGAAGTGTACGGAACCGCATATCGACGTCAAATTTTGCTTGAAACAGGTCACTAATGGCTTTAAACGGACCATTTGGGCCTTGTGGGCTTTAAACAGAGTGTGTGGGCCCCTCCCTTCTTTTGGGTTAAGAGAGGTTGGGCTTGGGGCCCAATGCTTCTTTATAAGTAATTTCTTCTAACCATTTCATTTAGCAATTGTCAAATGTTTCTTTTTGTTGCGCAGGTGCCTTGCTCAGAGGTATCAGGCAGGTTGTTCCAGCAGTTCGGCTTCGCCCCGTTCTACAGTCGCCGACTCTACGCTGACCCGACGAGAGGTATGTGTCAAATGCCGTTACTTTCTTCTTCTTTTGTTGCATACCCTTCTTACATATTTCTGCTCTTACAGGGATTTGGAGATGGGAGGTTGCGGAGCACCAGTCTCGTCAAATCCAGCGCCGTTACAGCACTCCAGCTGGAAGGTGATGATTCGGATGAGGTTAAGAGGTGGGGGGATTTCCGCTAGACTTTCTCCGGAGCAAGGATGATGATGGTTTTCCTCATCCGAATGACGCACCGGCCATCTACCCCTCAGGCAGTGCTGGTCCCGACCGGAGGCGTCGCTAGACAGGCTTCCTATTTTTGACGATCATTTTGAAACATTTTGTAGTTTGTAGGACTATATGTACAGTTTTATTAATTTTATGACATTATTTTTCATTTTTACAGTATATTTGCTTTTTATTACAGTTATCATTTATACGTGCTATTTCTTACAACTTTGTGGAGCTTTTATCCTGCAAAACAAAATATAAACACAAAAACACAAAAATTCGCAGGGTCCCACTTATCAAAGAGTGTCTAAACCTCGTTAGTCGATCAACCAAACCCAATTTATTGTAAATACGGAAATGAATAATTATAAAATAAAAATAAGAAAACAAGAGATAAGATAAGAATCGACCCGCAATCGTGAAATGGATCGTAATAACTTACCTGATGGCGGTCCACTTGATTAATGCGGACATAAAGGCCTCAACACCTATTGTTACAAGCCTGTCCCCTTTTCTTAATGCACGGCTAAATTTCAACTACGGAGCAATCTATGCATAAGTGGCTCACCCAACCACCATTGACAGTAGATATCAGGTCGAGTCAAATGATGGGTGCTTATTCGCCTAGACCTTATACTCCTATAAAATGGAGGCTTTCCTCTGCGTCCTCATTCATTTCCCACAGTCAAAACAAATCATTTCTAGATAATCCTTTTCCATGGCTTCAGAACCAAGTTTCATCCTCGTTCATCCATTCCTGAGACCTTGGCGGGTTTCCCCACTGGACCAACTGGCCTGGCTGAATATTTCAAAGACCTAAAACCCAACCATGGCTTCTTGTCTTGGCTCGTTGCGCATTTCAACCCTAACAACCATGGTTTTTTCCGGTTTGAAAGACCTCTGAAATACTCGCGACCCTATAGAGGAAAGTGTGCCGTTGATGGATCATCAATCTGAACAAGATGAAACTCCCACTTTGCCCCCCAGGCCCTAGGTAATGATCTAGCGAGATTGCGGCCGCTGTGGTCTAGTTTACCATCCTGATGGCGTAACCACGGATTCAAGGTCTCCTTTAGAGCCTTTTCTAAGCAAGCGTTCTATCAGGATTCTAGATTCTCTTGGATTCGAGCTTGTTGTTTCTTGCTGTTGAATGTGTATGCCATGAAGAATCCGTCCAACCCGGAGTTGGAGACTTCCGAGCTTCTGAACAGTTGTTTCGCAACATGCAATTGTAACATCAATACTGTCTCTCATGAATGATCAAGGGAGAGACAATGTGTTGGCGTTAGTGGATATTGCCCTTCACATCACCAACTTCAATGTTCATCATCGTGGTTGTCAATGTTTGTACAAGCCCTGGGCTTTAGACAATTAAAGCTTTGAATTCTTCTGGTCCCAGCTCGTTGATTCCCAACTAATGGCCCTGCAACCTTTCGGTCTCGGGACTCGAGTCATTTCGACTTTGGGGATAACCCGACCATACCGGTGGACTTGTCCTTGGTAGAGGATCGGACTGGTCACACACTTGGAAGCATGAAATCTCAAAATTACGTGTTGTACGCCAAGTCTAGACCGTTCCATTGGCCCTATTCCCAGATAGATTAGTCGTCAGTATGGGATGATACACGTGTCCCCGAGTCCACAACTTTTGGAAAGTGGTCTCATAACACCGCATCCTTTGACACATTGGCTGTCCGTTTTGGCGGACATCTCGAACACCAGGTATTTAGATGAGGGAACAACGCAGGCCACGTGTGACACCTGCTATGTCATGTTCTACAACGCATGGCATGATATTAGGTTCTTGCGGAAAATTGGGCATCTGATGATATCCCTACTGGAATAAATGTTGTCGTGAATTTTTCTCTCTTTTTCTTAGTTTTGTAATTCCCGGCCATGAGCTCCTAGTTAACTGTGTCTTTCCCTTCTTTCGATAATGATCCGGTTGGTTGTCCTTATTAATTCCTGCTTTCTGCACATATGGACAATCAAAAGATACAATCTTTTCCTTCGAAATTATTTTGTGTGTTAGTTATTTGGGCCCTGCCCCTGGTTAATAAATGAAAACTCATAAAAAGAATTATGGATTTAAAGACATAAGCTTACATTGGAAATACAAGCAGGGGTGACTATTTTATTTGCCTGATAGATCAAACAAAAATCGACATATGCAGAACTCCTTTATGTATGCATGAACTATTGAGTCTAAGGTTTTTTATTCCATGGTTTTCTTTATTGATCCTTCCAAAGACACCACCGAGAAAATAGCATTTTGACCTTCTGATCGCTGTCTAAGAGAATCCAATAACCCGTGCAGGATCAATAGCCCAACATTCTTCAAGACAAAAAGCATATGCTGAACCATATGGCAAAGAGGAAAGGTCTTTGTAATCAAACGACCATGTCCAGAAACAAAAGGGGAAGGAAGAATTTGAGGAACCATGCTCTTTATTGCTCTTTAACTTCTTTCAACATCACACAGAAGTAAAGAGAAATATTTTAAATCAATGGTTCGTTCATTCAACTTACTTATTGCCTATTCTCCTTCCAGTCCAGGTTGTGGCTTGAGCAACCGGTCGCAACGTATGTCACGAATGCATGGCTAGATTTCACATTTTAACAGCACCATGGCGTTAACCTCAAAATTTTATTTTCTATTTTTATTTATTTATTTATTATTATTATTATTATTTTTTTTTAAAACTCTAATTTTTGCCTAGGCTGCCCTTTACGGGTTTTGTTCAACCTAGCGAGCTCATTTCTTGCCTAGGTCCGCCCTTTCGGGTTTTCAACCTAGCCCCCATTTCTTTTTTTTTTTTTTTTTTTTTTTTTTTTTTTTTCTTTTTTTTCTTTTTCTATCGAAATCATCATTTTCACGCATTAAATCTCTTCATTTTGATCCTGACTGACATCCGATTGATAGGCCTTCCCTTCCAAGTGACCAATTCAGCGGCACCCTTATCCGACAGAGCTTTTCTGATTTTGAATGGTGCCATGCCAATTGGGTCTGAATTTCCCTCTAGGGTGACTCTGGAATTCGTGGTCTAAACAGTATGCATCAGCAACGATCTCCATTTTTCAAAGTCAATTGGATGTACGCGCTACTGTAGAAACAAGCCAATCATTCTCATTCTTTTTTTTTTTTATCATTTTTCATTCATTTCATTTATTATGTCTTAATTATTATTATGTCTTTTGATAACATGTGCCATTCCTACAGCGCTGTTTGCTCAGGACATCATACGTGGAAAGAGGGAAGTCATCTTTGGGCGGAGGCTGTAGTCGACACATACGGTTGTTAAGTCTCCCCCTTCTTCAGCCAAGGGAATGTTCGCTGACAGACTCAGGGTAATGTATTACCGCCTTCCCAGAAACTTGCATCTAGCTCTTCTGAACCACAGCCTTCATCTTGTTTGCACTTCCTAGTTTGAACCCGTCTCCTTTTCCGCTTTACCTGGCTTGATATTGAATCGGTAGGGACGACATGCCTGTATCGGCTTATTGACCCCGGTTATCAGCATAACTTGAGAAACATTCTTGGAAATCCTTTTTGAGCTCAAGCTTAAAGTCTGATCGATTTCGATTATTTTTGTTTTTTGAGATTTGGACGGTGCTTAGGTTAAATGCAATGATGCAATGCATTTATGCCTAAACAAATATGCGTGTGGTATAATCAATGCTATGAACATAACAATCAGGAGAAGTAAGAAAACAAGTAATCGAAATTCATTCCCATTGATTGAAATAGTAAATGAAGTTCATTCACATTGTTCTTAAAGCAATATTCAGAAAACAAACAAAAAGATTAAAGAGCTTGTTCAATTTGCACATCAGCTAACTTTAATGGTTTCCGGGCGCAGGCTTATTATGCTCAGGAGGCTTGGTGATCTTCCTGCTATCTATCAAATCTTGGATATCATGTCGGAGCTTGAGACAATTATCAGTAGAATGACCTTTCTGATGATATTCACAGTCTTGATCAGCGAACCTACCTTGAATAGGCTTAGATGGAAATTTGGCAACTTTGACCAATATAGCCAATTCTCAATGCAGCGATCCCATGGACTGCGCTGTAAAGGCATGCAAATCAGTGAATTCCCTTTTCTTTTTCTCCTTAACAGCTTCTAACTGTATTGCTACTCCCTAATTGGTTTGTAGTGCATTTGGACCAACATTTCTGTTAGTGATTATTGCTGGAAGACCGGTAGTACCAAACCCTCGGCTCGTCTTTTTCTTTTTGTTGTACAGTTCTTCAAAATTCAAATCCAACCCTCCGTATCCCAGATCCAGACCGTTCATATCTTTCCTATAATCTGTACGATTTGTCTGAGGGAAAATCCTCGCAACACACCCTCTTCGCCGCTATTGGTTCATCTGAGCCAATCACGGATGGGACTCCGACAAACGGGACCTCGGGGTCCATCATCTCCGCGAACAGTATGCTTCGAAGAGAAGTAGGAATTTGTGGGCTTTCAAGACATACTCTGTCA